AGATTACGCCCTACTCATAGCCGCCCCAATCTCAGTTCTCGATTGTGATGAATTTTTCATTCGTTGTCAGATCGAGGGGCGGGGCTTAACTGCAAGATCCATATTTGTCTACAAGAATTCACCATTTTAAACTTTAAGGTTCTTGTTCTGAAAAGACGACTACGTATGTTAAGAAAAAAGGCAAAATATAAGCCCCGCTCACCCACCCTGTCTCAGTTGTGATGATTTTTTTTTTTTAAACGTCGAGAACCAAAGGAGCAAAATCTTTATTATTTCTCTACAAGAAATTACCATATAAGACATGTTTTTGAATATCGTGTTATTTTTCGATTTTTTAATTTTTCTGTTTTTCAATGAGGTGATTTTATAATTTTTCTTTTTTTAATCTGAAATTTGAAAAATGGAAAAATAAAAAATTTTAAATACTGGAAAATTGAAGAGTCGAAATATTGAAAAATAGAAGGAAAATGGAAAAACCGAAAAATCCAAACGAAAAAAATGGAAAACTTCAAGTTTAAACATTGAAAAATTGAAAAACCGAAAAATTAAAGAATTGAGAAACTGAAAAATCGAAAAATCAAGAAGTTGACGAGTCGAAAAACCCAAAAAAACGATTAATCCAGACATTGAAAAATCGAAAATAAAAAATTTGGAAACTTTAAATATTGAAAAATTTAAAAATCCGAAAATCAAAGAATCGAAAAACTAAAAAGTCGTAAAACTGAAATATCGAAAAGTTTTTCGTTTCGTTTTTTTATTTCGTGTATTTTTTCAGTTTTGGTTTTTCAATGTTTTGATTTTACGATTTTTCATTTTTTAATGTGAAATTTGAAAAATCGGAAAATCAAAAATTTTTAAATTGAAGAACCGAGAAATTGAAAAATCAAAAAATCAAAACGCTAAAAAAAAAACGGAAAACCTAAAGTTTAAAGTTTGCAAAATTGAAGAATTGAGAAACTGAAATCGAAAAATCGAGAAATCAAAAAGTCGAAATACCAAAAAAAACTGAAACATTTAAAAATGTAAAAATTTAAGTCAAAAAACAAAAACCGTAAAACTAAAATATCGAAAAATTGAGTAAAATTTTTAATTTTTCAATTTTTCCTGTGTTCAGTTTTTAGATTTGCATTTTATCGTTTCGGTTTTTATTTTGTTTATTTTTCAGTTTTTCGATTTTCCAATGTTTCGATTTTGTAATTTTTCTTTTTTTCAATTTTTCACTTTTCCGATTCGCAATTTTTCGATTTTTCAACTTTCAGATTTTGATTTGCAATTTTTAAAGTGCTTGTTTTAAATATATAATAATAATTATTGTAATTTTAAAAATATTTCACATTTTCTTTAGAATTTTTCCATTTCTCAATAAATTACTAGATTTTAAAACTTTTTCATTTATTCGACTTTTCAATTTTGCGATTTTTAATTTGTCATTTTTTCGATGCTTCAATTTTTCATTTCTTCAAATGTTTTTATTTTCTTTGTCCTTACAATTTTTCGATTGTTCAATGTTCTGATTTTATTATTTTTTGTTTTTTTCAATTTCACTTTTTTCAATTTTTCATTTCTTCAGTATTACAAAATGCAACTTTTCGAATTTCCATTTTAAAATTTTTCAGATCAGAATTCTTTCAAAATCCATATTTCCTTGCAAAAATGTACCATGTTAACCGTGTTCTAAGTTTCTCGTTGTGAAAAGATGGCTTGGTATATTAAAAAAAAAAGCCAAGATATAAGCCCCGCCCACCCACCCGGTCTCAATTGTGATGATTTTTTTTATTCGCCGTGAGCCAAGAGGGCGGAGCTTAACTGCAAAATCCTTATTTCTCTACGAGAAATTAAAAACATGTTTTTGAGTATCGTGTTGTTCAAAGAATATTATGTATATTAAGAAAAAAATAAAGCCAAAGGTTACGCCCTATTCATAGCCGCCCCAATCTCAGTTCTCAATTGTGATAAATTTTTCATTCGTTGTCAGATCAAGGGGCGGGGCTTAACTGCAAGATTCATATTTGTCTACAAGAATTCACCATTTTAAACGTTAAGGTTCTTGTTCTGAAAAGACGACTACGTATGTTAAGAAAAAGGGCAAAATATAAGCCCCGCCCACCCGCCCTATCTCAGTTGGGATGATTTTTTCAGTATCGTGTTATTTTTCAATGTTCTGATTTTATAATTTTTCTTTTTTTAATCTGAAATTTGAAAAATGGAAAAATAAAAAATTTTAAATACTGGAAAATTGAAAAATGGAAAAAGTGAAGAGTCGAAAGATTGAAAAATCGAAGGAAAATGGAAAAACCGAAAAATTGGAAAATCGAAACGAAAACCCAAAGTTTAAATATCGAAAATCAAAAATTTGGAAACTTCAAATATTGAAAAATTTAAAAATCCGAAAATCAAAGAATCGAAAAACTAAAATGTCGTAAAACTGAAATATCGAAAAGTTTCGGTTTTTTATTTCGTTTATTTTTTCAGTTTTCGGTTCTTCAATATTTTGACTTTACGATTTTTCTTTTTTTAACGTGAAATTTGAAAAATCGGAAAATGAAAAATTTTTATATTGGGAAATCGAAAAAACGAAGACAAATTGAAGAACTGAGAAATTGAAAAATCAAAAAGTCAAAAAAAAAACGGAAAACCTAAAGTCTAAACTTCGCAAAATAGAAGAACTGAGAAACTGAAATCGAAAAATCGAGAAATCGAAGACGAAAAACCAAAAAAAAACGATTAATCTAGAAACTGAGAAACCGAAAATAGAAAATTTAGAAACGTAAAAAAATTGAAACATTTAAAAATCTAAAAATTTAAGAGTCAAAAAACTAAAAATCGTAAAACTAAAATATCGAAAAATTAAGTAAAATTTTTGGATTTTTCAATTTTTCTTGTCTTCAGTTTTTAGATTTGCATTTTTTCGTTTCGGTTTTTAATTTTATTTATTTTTCAGTTTTCTAATGTTCTGATTTTGTAATTTTTCTTCTTTCTTTTTTCAATATGAAATTTTTCACTTTTCCGATTCGCAATTTTTCGATTTTTCAACTTTTAGTTTTTGATTTGCAATTTTTAAAGCGTTTGTTTTAAATATATAATAATAATTATTATAATTTTTTAAATATTTCACATTTTCTTTAGAATTTTTCCATTTCTCAATAGATTACTAGATTTTAAAACTTTTTCATTTGTTCGACTTTTTTTTCGAATTTTTAATGTTCTGATTTTATTATTTTTTGTTTTTTCAGTTTCACTTTTATCATTTCTTTTGTTTTACAAAATGCAACTTTTCGAATTTTCATTTTAAAATTATTTCCTTGCAAAAATGTACCATGTTAACCATGTTCTAAGTTTCTAAGGCAAAATATAAGACATGTTTTTGAGTATCGTGTTATTTTTCGATTTTTCAATTTTTCCGTTTTTCAATGAGCTGAATTTATAATTTTTCTTTTTTTAATCTGAAATTTGAAAAATGGAAAAATAAAAAAATTTAAATACTGGAAAATTGAAAAACGGAAAAGTGAAGAGTCGAAAGATTGGAAAAACGGAAAAATTGGAAAATCGAAACGAAAAAAAAATGGAAAACCGAAAGTTTAAATATCGAAAAATTGAAGAATTGAGAAACTGAAAAATCGAAAAACCCAAAAAAAACCGATTAATCCAGACATTGAAAAATCGAAAATCAAAAATTTGGGAACTTCAAATATTGAAAAATTTAAAAATCCAGAAATCAAAAAAAATCGTAAAACTGAAATATCGAAAAATTGAGCAAAATGTTTCGATTTTTTCAATTTTTCGTTTCGGTTTTTTATTTCGTTTATTTTTCAGGTTTTCGGTTTTTCAGCGTTTTGATTTTACGATTTTTCTTTTTCTTAATGCGAAACTTGAAAAATCGAAAAAACGAAGACAAATTGAACCGAGAAATTGAAAAATCAGGATACCAGAACGTCAAAAAAAATTGGAAAACCTAAAGTTTAACTTAAAAACGAGAAATCGAAAAGTCGAAATACCAAAAAAAAAAAAAACCGATTAATCCAGAAACTGAGAAATCGAAAATAGAAAATTTAGAAACGTAAAAAATTGAAACATTAAAAATTTAAGAGTCAAAAAACTGAAAAATCGTAAAACTAAAATATCGAAAAATTGAATAAAATTTTTTCATCAGTTTTTAGACTATTTTTTCGTTCGGGTTTTTTATTTTGTTTATTTTTCAGCTTTTTGATTTTCCAATGTTCTGATTTTGTAATTTTTCTTTTTTTCAATATGAAATTTTTCCTTTTCCGATTTGCAATTTTTCGATTTTTCAACTTTTATATTTTGACTTGCAATTTTTAAAGTGCCTGTTTTCAATATATATATCTAACAATTTTTATTATAATTTTTAAAGTATTTCACATTTTCAATTTTACAACTTTGGAATTTTTCCATTTCTCAATAAATTACTAGATTTTAAAACTTCTTCATTTATTAGATGCTTCAATTTTTCATTTTTTCAGTATCCCAAAATGCAACTTTTCGAATTTAAATTTTAAAATTTTTCAGACCAGAATTCTTTCAAAATCCATATTTCCTTGCAAAAATGTACCATGTTAACCTAAGTTTCCCGTTGTGAAAAGATGGCTATGTATATTAAGAAAAAAAAACAGAACATAAGCCCCGCCCACCCGCCCTGTCTCAATTCTGATGATTGTTTTACTGGTTGTAAGCGAGGGGCGGAGCTTAATTGTAAAATCCTTATTTTTCCAAGAGAAATTACCATGTGAAATATGTTCTTAAGTAATCGTGTTATACAAAATAAACTAAAGAAAACCAAAAGAGAAGCCCCACCCATCCGTCTCGATCAACAATCGTGATGAATTTTTCATTCGTTGTCAGACCGAGGGGCGGAGCGTAATTACAAAACTTCATGTTCCGTACTTTAAAAAGGATAAAAAGTAAATAAATATAGCCATGAAACAAATGATTGATGAAAAGAATTTGGTGCCAACACATACGGTATGCAAAAAAGCCTTAGATAGATTTTTCACTCGTATTTATTTTCCAAAAGGAATGTACATTGTATAAAATTTCCTCTTCATCTATTATACATATAAATATTTACATATAAAATATAGAGTTCGTATATACAGATAAAATAATACTTATTACATAACTAAATGGACGCGGTGCCGAAATAGCTTCCTTAATACTGATTGGATCACTAAACTACTTTCAGCACCAATTGAAAATGAGCACGACATAACCCTACACTTTCGTTCCGTTTTGCTGGCTGTCGCCAATAGTCACGTGGGTCACAAACGGCCCTCTGTGTTGGTTCCGATTGGGGTGTCGACCCTGCACTGGTTGTTGTGGCGGTTGCTGCTGCTGACCTTGTCTGGGCAGCGAATTGGAATTGACGTCTTGGTACGTCACAGGCTGGGTGGTGTGGTGGACCGGGGGTGGATTCGCCCGCGCCGGGCGGTTATTCAACATGGATTGGATACTTTCATATTCGTAGAAATTCGAGACTGGTCGGAGCTGGTTGTCGGTTCGAGCTTGACGCTGAGAGTGGTACTGATGCTGCTTCCGGCTAAGAGAAACGTCGAAACGTCAGCGGTTAAAAGATCTAGGTGAAAATCTACAGCATTATGTTATTAGATGGTCTGGAGTGGAATTAGTTTTGGGTGAAGCAAATTCAGCACGGATTTAGTACAATACAAGCGCCCCCAAGTAGTGTACTAATTTTAGCCATCTTTAAACGTATGTAACTGATTTTTTGATGGATAGATGGATTAAGAATATGTCTCAAGTTTTTCGATTTTTAATAAATTGATACATAATAAATAGCCCAGCACCCGACAGAAAGCAAAGCCACAAGCATTAGTAAGGCGCAAGAACAGTGTGTAAACAGAAAAAGTGCATACCTTTCTTCCTCCACCTTTAACCTTTGCTGTTGAACTTGCAGACGCATCTGAACTATCTGACTGTCAGATAGCGGATCTTTACGGCTGCTTGGACAAAATACAATTATGACAATGACAATGCAAAACATCAACAATAATCATTATAACATTAACAGATCGATTTGTTATCGTCATGCAACAAATCAGTGTTAGTAACAAATGAAATGTGCACAACACAGAAGACATTGTAGGCCCTCCATAACCTCAAAAACTGTACATTGTCGTACCTTAAGTGATTCTGCAGCTCGTTGTAGTTGACGTAGTGGGTGAACGGCACGGATTCGGTGATCCCCGAGCGACTGCCAGGCCTGCCACCGTACTCCCCGTAGTTGTTAACCTACAACAAAAGTCACCGTCATTTTCCAAGATTAGACGAGGTATAACATTTTTTTGGTTTTTTGTTTGAAAAAATGATATTAATATAGATGTATCATAAATCAAACTGCAGCTTTTTTCATATTCTAGAGCGCAGAGACCAGTTCAATCAACTAAAAAAATATGGATGAGAAATATCGTAAAAAAAGCACCATTGTATGTTTTCTTTTCAAGTTTTTTAAGTCATAACCATCATAGAATCGCTTGAAAATTCGCACATGGTTAAAACTTCAATTTTTACAGGGCGCAGAGTCATTAAATGTTTGTTAGTGGTACAATTTGTTTAAATAATAATGTGTTTATTAAAGTCAAAATATACCACAAATTAATGCAAAATACGTCGAATAATTTTAAGAGGAATATCAGAGGAAAATTAATGATCTATTGGTTAGCAGAGTTTTTAACAAAAACTAACAATTATTGAAAAAAATGGGTATCAATTCGACAGAATTTGAGCAGTTAGTTCAGTACTTTGCCGATAGGAGCGCCACTAAAATTTACGGAAGCGGCTTTCCAGGTAAAACCCTTATTGCCTGCTCTACCATAAGCTGATAGAGTTCTCGGCTGATTTTTCTAATTTATGGCAAGGAACTCAGTTTTATAACAAGACCGGCCGCAGTAATCTATTGTTAAGGAAATTAAATTTTACGCAATGAGGTACTATTATAAAACCGAATTAAAACTGGGGAACTATAATATTTTTACTCCACTCAGGATCCTGAATTCAATACACATGATTACTAAAAAATCATTGTAATATTATTGTTAATATATATTTTGCTTTGTTAATTAATAAAACTAGTAAACATATTTATAATAATAATAAAAAATATATAAAATACAGCTTTTGTTTAACACGTATAAGTAGCTAAGTGTATATACTTGTCAAGATAAAACTCATTTTGGCAGACGATATACCCTCTAAGAAAATAACGGGTGGGCGGGTGGGGCTTATTTCTTGTCTTTTTTTTGTTGACTATAGTTTTCGTTCAACAAAATGATACATAAAAACATATTTCGCATGCTAGATTCTTGTAGAGAAAGTCGTCACGATTGAGTTGAGGGTGGGTGGGCGGGGTTTGTATGTTGCGTTTTTTCTCAATATATGCACGTAGTTTTCTTTTCCAGTAAATTTATAAAGAAATGTGGGTACAAAATTTACCATTTTCAACATGTTTTCAGTTTCTTGTTGTGAAGACTATAAATTAAGATGAAAAAAAAGAAGGCAAAAATAAGCCCCGCCCACCCACCCTGTCTCAATTGTGGCGATCTTAACTGCAAAATCCCTTAAAGGGTATAGCATTTGCCAAAATCAGTTTTATCTAAATAAAAGCAGTAGCCCCGCCCACCCACCCCTATTTTCTCAGAGGATATGTCATTTGCTAAAATTAGTCTTATCTTAGCAAGGGCCACCAGCCCTCTATTTTCTTAGAAGGTATGGTATTTGCTAAAATCAGTATTATCTTAATAAAAGTACTAGGCCCGCCCACCCGCCCTCTATTTTCTTAGAAGGTATGGCATTTGCCAAAATCAGTTTTATCTTAATAAAAGTACTAGCCCCGCCTACCCACCCCCTATTTTCTCAGAGGATTCTGTCATTTGCCAAAATCAGTCTTATCTTAGCAAATACTAGCCCCGCCCACCCGCCCTCGATTTTCCTAGAGCATATTGCATTTGCCAAAATCAGTTTTATCTTAATGAAAGTACAAGCCCCGCCCACCCACCCCCATGTTTTCTCAGAGGATTATGTCATTTGCCAAAACTAGTCTTATCTTAGCAAATACTAGTATTTTAGCAAATGACATACTTTTAAAGAAAATAGAGGGTGGGTGGGCGGGGTTAGTATTTGATAAGATAAGACTAATTTTGGCAAATAACATATCCTTTGAGAAAATAGAGCGCGGGTGAGCGGGGCTAGTACTTGCTAAGTGATTTTGGCAAATGATATACTTTAAAAAAATAAAGGGCGGGTGGGGGGGCTAGCATTTGGCAAGATAAGATTGATTTCCGCAGATGACATACCTTCTAAGAAAATAAAGGGCGGGTGGGTGGGGCTAGTACTTGTCAAGATAAAACTAATTTTGGCAGATGATATACCCTCTAAGAAAATAACTGCCCATTCACAATGGACATAAGGCATAACAAGTACATAAAGCTTACATAAATACATAAAGTTGAAACGATGGAAAACGTGTACCTCTGTTCACAGTGGACGAACGTAATTCTTATGCTTATGAACGTTTTATGTAATCCTTGTGTGCGTACACAAAGTTGAAACAAGTTCAACTTTGTGCACGAATTATGTCAAAATTATGTTAAAATCTAGGGACTTTTGAATGCTGCTGTTGAATTCCCTTTGACAGTTGGCACTTGACACTTCACACCTTTGATTATATTATATAAATTATAAGCAAAGCTTCACATTGCGAGTTTGTTCTGTACTGCGAGTTGTCAAGTTCGAATATCGTATGAAATTGTAGGTTAGATATTTTGATTGACTCAGTTTGAGGTTAGCCGTTTCTATGTTTAGCCGGGAGTTATTCCGTTCTGCGTTTGCGCAGTTTAACAATTCTTACAGAGTTCACTCTGTCCACTGTGAACGTAGATAAGCATAAGCCAGACACAAACCAAAAACGTAAATTATGTTATGCGCTCGTTCTTATGTCTTATGTCCATTGTGAATGGGCAGTAACGGGTGGGCGGGTGGGGCTTATTTCTTGACTTTTTTTGTTTGACTATAGTTTTCGTTCAACAAAATGATACATAAAAACATATTTCGCATGCTAGATTCTTGTAGAGAAAGTCGTCACGATTGAGTTGAGGGTGGGTGGGCGGGGTTTGTATTTTGCGTTTTTTCTCAATATATGCACGTAGTTTTCTTTTCCAGTAAATTTATAAAGAAATGTGGGTACAAAATTTACCATTTTCAACATGTTTTCAGTTTCTTGTTGTGAAGAGAAGACTATAAATAAAGAAGAAAAAAAAGAAGGCAAAAATAAGCCCCGCCCACCCACCCTGTCTCAATTGTGGCGATCTTAACTGCAAAATCCCTTAGAGGGTATAGTATTTGCCAAAATCAGTTTTATCTAAATAAAAGCAGTAGCCCCGCCCACCCACCCCTATTTTCTCAGAGGATATGTCATTTGCTAAAATTAGTCTTATCTTAGCAAGGATTAGCCCCGCCCACCCGCCCTCTATTTTCTTAGAAGGTATGGTATTTGCTAAAATCAGTATTATCTTAATAAAAGTACTTATCCCAGAAAGGAGGTGTTTTAAAAAAGCCCTACGCCCAGTAACTTCTCCCTTGATTCTTTACTCGAAAAAAGTGCTCGTATATGTTTTCATTTGCCGAGAGATCATTTTCAAAATATATTTATAATAAAAATATGCAAGTCTTGGTGATGAAAAATGTACTAATAAATTATTAAAGTTCATAAAAAAAATAGAAACAAATTTTATTTATTTTAAAAAAATCTCTCGCAAAGGCAGGTTCCTCTTTCTTCTTGAATCAATTATTTCGGGCAATAATGCGCCAAAGTAAAATCTGCCAAGTTTATCTGCCATCTTTTTACATATATTTCTTCGTCTTTATAAATTTTTTCTATATTTATTCCTTTGGGTGTCCATACAACAAAATGAACTTGTGAAATACCCGTAACAAGTATTTTATTATTTTTTTTTTTCTAACCGCTTCTTCGGGAGACAAATCTTGCGATTTTGATGGGCATTTAATTTCGACTAATGCACTCCTATCCTCTAGAACCCTGTCTGGACTAGCAGCCAAGTAAGGAAATTGTTTTGAAATAAACAAGCCACACCGTTCTGTTTTTATATTTTTATTTATTTCAAAACACTTCACAGCTTTTTCCTCACTTTGCTGTCCATAGTATGTATGACTATTACCTCTAAATGTACTGTACAACACAGGCTCCACAGTTTTAGCTATTGCTGTAGTCGGTCTAAGTTTGTAAATACGTCCAAAATTTGAAGCTGTAATCCTAATTTCTCTTTCTTTTGCCCAAATGTGCCTGTTGACTAGTCTCTATTTCAATTTGGTCTAAATTCAAAGATAATTTTCTCAAAAAAACCTCTTTGGCTGTCACAAATGTTTCTACATCCATGATAGGATTTTCTAAAAAATATTTAAACCATAATCGCAGTCGGGACCAGCATACGTAAATTTTTTTACGACATATTTTTTTACGAATACTTTGTCTAAGACGAGCTTGTTTTATAGCGAACAATATTTTTTTGTTATTAAACCAGGACCGTTTTAATCACAATATATTTACTTATCCCCTCTAAAAAATTCATGACGTCACCTCAAAATTTTGCTGAATAAATCCTATCTAAATTGTATAAAATATGATGAGTCCCTTCTTGTGATTTATCATTCCATTCATATTTTTTGGATATGCATATACAGGGTGACTCAAAAAATTTAATGAATGCGAAAATTTCTTTAATTGATTTAATCAGAAACTACAAAACCGAATGCTTCGAAATCTAATGTGAAAAAAAAACATAATAGGCATGCAGTCGTCACGTTTCCGATAGCGAGGGAAGTACTGTCTAAACTCTTTAGACCAATTTTTTTGATTTTCCCATTTTTCCATTTCTCAATTTTGCAATGTTTCAGTTTGGGTTTTTTCACTGTTTCGATTCTTTAATTTTCCTTCCATTTTTAGGTTTTTCAATATTTCAGCTTTGGAATTTTGCAATATTTCGTTTCTTCAATTTTTCAAATTTTTGACATTGTGTTTTTCGAATTTTTAAAATCTTAGATTTCTCACTTTTTTGTTTCCATATTTCTATCTTTCGATTTTTCGATTCTTCAATGAAAAATTCAAAGAATCGAAAAGGTTCTTCACATATTTAGACTTTTCAATATTTCAATTTTTGGTGTTTTGAAATTTTCGATTTTTTGGTTTCTGGATTTTTCAATTTTGGGATTTTTCGTTT